GAAAATCGAGGAGAGATCGGTATTTCAAGCGAAGCAGGCAGCCAGCCAGGCACGGAGGTCATCCTTTACGCCGCCGTTCCCAACGAGCTGTCCGACGATCGGGAAGATGAACGCGCATAGTCAATACGAAGTCAACGTCCAGAGACGTGTGGACGTGCGTCGTTCAAGAGGATAGAGGAGGATATACGGGATAAAAAACGAGAAGGTAGAAAAGGAGGAGATCGAAAGGGGGGAAAGAATGATAGAGAGAGGCGCATGTACGTAGAAGCGGAGAGGGACAGGGAGACGAGGAGAGAGAGAGCGAGAGAGTAAGATAGAGATGGAAGTGAGGTCGAATAACAGGGTGCGCTCCGATCAACATTAATCACTATCCGAAGCGAGTAGATAGCCGTCGAATGCTCGCTTTCTAAAGCAAGGTGAAGGGGTGGCTGATAGATGGAGGTGATGAATGGCTCCGTGACGCGGGGCGATCCATCATCTCGGGGCCGACATCACGGGAGCTGCCTACCGCGAGAGCTAGCAGGAGAGATTTCGCGCGAGAGGTCACCTCGGCTAATTCATCATCCGGTCCGTCGCGTTTACTCTCCCTCCCTCCCGTCGCCGACCTCCCCCCGTCCGCCTGGCACACACTCTTCAACCCTCTCCTTCTCAGTTTTCCACCCGCGCTCTCCTCGCCCCAACGTCCCCCCACCTGCCGTCGACGACCCTTTGTTTTTCGCCGCGCTCGTTTTCCCCCGACTTCTCGCCTCTGATTTTGCCATTCGCGCCCCGTGACAGCTGCGGAAAGGCCGGGCAGACGCTCTTTCTTTTACCAGAACACTTTCAGGAAACGTCAACCGGCGAAGTCGAAGTTGAAATTGTAATAGCCGGGGCGATCGATGAAACGGTCGGACTAATGTCTCTAATATAACAAGGCGAGTTGTCCCAGTTGCTGGGTAAAAGAATCTATACCCATAATAACGCTTATCGTTCGGGACATCGCGTCATTATAGGCCAGGAAGACAAGTTAATGTAGCCGTTTCGTTTCCTTTTATACTTTCTGGGACACGTCGATGAAAAATTATAGACGGCGGCTACATTTTACTTTCGATTGTGAACGAAAGTGTATAAAATGAACTTTTAAACGTGTCGCGTTGAACATATTTAATTCGTGAAAATCGAATTAGATTACACTTAAGCATTTCTCTCGCCTGTCTTCTTATTAAATGACGAATGCATTCGGAAGAATGTATTGCACGGTGAATTTAAAAAATGAACGAGCTAGCATCTTCAAATGCTTTTCAGAGTAATATTTCTTCGTCAGAGGGCGAGACGGGCGTCGCCTTCTTGACTCTACATGATAGATGAAAATAATGTAGTAGACGTCTAACCCCCTGCTTCGAAATGGATGCTACATTTTCTGAAGAATGCGCGCTTTGTAATAACGTCTTGACAAGCTGGATTGGTTCAGAAATATAACGCGTAAGCACTCTCTCGAAGCGAGTCATTTATTATCCGTGCGATTTGTATCGGCCGATGGCTCGGATTAATTTCCTCTGCTTCGATATTTCATAATTATCATAACTTCAATTGAATTTACATCACAGTTAATATTGCGTTCAGTCGACAATTTTGCATCGGTAATGGGTCCATTGAATTATGAATCGGCGACGAAGATTCCTGTCGGCTCTCGTCCTTTATCAATCTGTCCGAAGATTATGTCTCGTGCGCGCGTCGTTTACACGCGCGCATTAAGATACACGCGAAATCGCAGCAACGACAGACGGGAATAAATAATTGATTCGCCGCACAGCGAGCGCGGCGAACCGGGCAGAAGAGGCGAGGAAATCCTTTCGCGGAGAGGCAGCTGCGGCTTGTAGGTAGGTCGCATTATCGAAATTAAATGCGTTCATACGCAAACAGTGGCTGGCGCTCACGCTGGGTGCAAATGGAAGTAACAAGGAGGAATAATGCATCACCGTACCGCGGTTGATTCTTCGCCGCGATGCCCGCCGGCACGATGACGCTGCGGGAGACGACGCCGCAGAAATGAAATCGACGAGCCACCTCCTCGGCAACGTATTATATCTAACAGTAAGTCTGTCGCATTTAACGACAAAGCCAAGAGAACAGAATCTTAGAAACTTGCCAAAAAATTTTGTTTCATCCTCGCAGAATATTCTGCGTTATTTCACAAATAATATACACTGAGAGATTTCGTTATGTCCGCATGTGTAACTGTTTCATTGCACGAGTGAAAACGTCATCCCCGAATCGTAGGCTGAAGTGTATTTGGCAAACTATGTGGCGTGCTGTCTATTTGTGAAAAAGAATTTGTCCGAAGATTAATATAGAAACGAGAAATTGAATTTTACGTGGGGAAAAGTGCGAACATCGTAAACCCTTCGGGGACGTTTGACCTATCGATTTCGTCTTCCACAATTTCTGCCCGAGGGGAACCGGGGGCTGTAGCTTATAGATGAATTATAGTTGCTCTTTGCTGTCGCGCATTCAACAGTGATGTATGACTCGGCGGGAGATGGTAGGTAGAAAACATCCACGATGTACGGCCTGTTAATAACAGCAAGAATGAACGAACGAACGAACGAACGAACGGCTGAACGGCTGCACAACGCGGTACACAGATGCCGCCGGCGGCTAGACTCCCTTTGTGTTTTATTACAAACGATACGTCAGCCACGATGTATGGGCTGCTTTTATCTGCGGCCTGTTATTGATGTGCTAAATTGTCTGCGCTGACTCGTAAGACTGGCCAGGGATCCCTGATAGACGTCATTCGGGTACGACACGACGCGCGGCGTATCACGACAAAAAGATTTAGCCAACGACACCGGCTGTCGTTTCTTTCTTTCAACGAAATTATAGGAAATTTATTACGACGCATATCCATAATTCAAAACCTCCTACAGCCCGTCCGGGAAGACTCGGAAATATTTTCGAGAGCTTCAACACTTGTCAGAGCACAGATCGTATTATACTAATTTGAAATTACTACCGGATTTCCTATCTAAAATTCAGTGAAATTTGGCTTTCGAATAAAAAGGCTTCATATTTGCAATAAATCATCCATTTGTACAATATTTTAAAATATTGTTTCGACTCGAACGAAATACATGATGAGAGATTTCGTAATTTTAACATATGTGTACTTGATACAGAAAATTGATAAACGTTCATATTACTACCATTGACGTTCCCAGAGCGAAGGGGCTAACACTGGAAAAACTGGACACTTCAACGTTACACATGTTGCCCCATTATTCCTCTGTATTTTTATCCTCCGCAACGACCCTTCCACACTCGTCAAAACAGATTTCCCACAAGTCCTCATCGGTCCATCCAGTTTTTATAAAGACGATCCCTAACTTGACTTCCATTCAATTGTAAACTCCTTGCCGTAATAACTATACTAGGGGGCTTCAAAAAGCACCCTTCCGTATCGTCGCCACTCCTTTCTTCCTCTCTGCTGAACGACTATGGAATTTACGTAAATTATTGAACTGACAACAAATGGTAATTTATTGCTTTGTATAAACTTACAGAATTTTAATATGAAATACTATTCGTAATATTCAATTTATATTTTATCTAACAACATTCGATCTTGCAATGCATTCATTTAATAATAGATAATGATTCTGTGAATGTAAAACCGATATTATTGTTTCGTAGAATGAATTATACAATATTTAGTGTCGTATGATATTTGATAATTTCGCGAATATGAACGAGGTCTCAGTGTTACATCGGTATCTGTCATACGAATCAAGCGACTCGCGAATCGGCGCGTGAAAGAGGTCTTTCAGTCACGTAGATCGATCCGCGTACGCGTAAATAGCCCAGTTAGAACGAACCGAGTCACTAATTGAGATTCAACGACGCACATAATGGGCACCGAAATAACATGAATTCTAATCCGTGAAACGAGCCGGGAGAAGACGAAATACGAGGAAACTACTATCCATCCCGATGCGAGGCGAGGCGACGCGACGGGACGCGACGGTTAAAATCACCGAATATTTCACTTTGCTGAGCCAGCTGAGCCAGCCCTGCCACCGCCTGTCGTGGCACCCCGGCGATGGAAACAACGTCCTCGCGGAGGGTAGGAGTCCTTCTCCCCGCCGCCCCGCGCGACCTCTGAAAACCTTCAAACCAGCCACCCACTCCGCGCTTCCTCTCTCCTCTCTCCTCTTTCTCTCTTTCTCTCTCTCCCGGTGCTATACCTCCACGGTTCCCCGCGTTTCCTCCTTCCGACGCTAGGCTGCAGATTTATGCGCCCCGCCTTGCAGCGCTGATATCCGAGAACTCGCGACCTGCTACGTCCGTAATGAAAGAAATAAATTTACTCTCCTGGCTACCCCGGGGATTGAGACTCACCCATTGCGTTCGCTCGTTCCTCCGCGTACACCGCACGAAACACCGAGCACCCGGGTGGTGCGAATCAGCAGTGTCTGATACTCAACCCGGGACTTTGCTTCCGTCCGCGTTTTTACTAACATCCACCATGATAGCGACAACTTGTAAACTGACTCGTGTTATTCTTGATTACGTGCAACTGTCAGCGTCGCACGTGCCATTTCACGATTTCGATCGAGAGGGTGTAAAGTGAAACTTCTTCGGATCACCTTTATTTATCTTGTCAAACGGTTGATCTCTCAACCCGTGCGAAATCTGACGACAAGGCTTTGTATTGACTGTTATCTGACATATCTATGATCGTGTTTTATTGAACTGTTGTCGGTAGCCGCGTTCTTCTTTGACAAAAACAAGAGACTATTTATATTTCTCAGAAAAACGCACTATATTATTGTTATAAGAGAAATTGATACGATTATAATATTGTTCAAAGATCATTTTTGTAGAATATTAATATACCATGAGTTTAAAATAATTTGGCAATACAAACAGTAAAATAATAATAGTTAATATAATATTTTTTTAAAGATAAGAAAATATGGATTAGGCATTTGTTGCTGGAGACGTAACAAAGAAAAGTCAAATTTAATGATTCCACAAACATTGTTTTTATTAAAGCGGTATGGAAACTCAACGATATTTACAAGAAATATTTACATAGTGCAAATGATAATATCGTATTGTACGTTACACGTCTTCGATCCTCGGAATACTTTACAATAATAAAAAATAATATGTATATACGTGGAAATCCAATGTCTTCTTTGAACAAACCTCAGAGAAGATCTCCTATACAACAATTAATGCAATTGAAAATCCACGAAACAACACAGGCGACGCATTTTTACTATCCTCCGGTTTTATTCGACGCGTTTTACAGCCCAAGGCTTGGTTACAAACGATAAGAATAATTTAGAACTTACAGTCGAAATAATTGGATTACAGTTTAGACATACCACCGTTTAATATTATCTCCCATTATTTCCTCGAAAAAATAGCGTAATATCACAGTTACATTGTGGACATTAGAACATGCACGACTCGCAAACTAGAAACAGCGTTTAGCCGTCGAAGCCGTTCAAATTGGATAATCGCGAAACTCACAAATCTACAATTCTTATTCCTCCTTAGCACCTATTTAGTTCCTCTCGTAAACCGAATCGTATCACTTTTTGGAGCACAGTCTGTGAACATGCGCACGTCTCCTAGTGAGGCTCGAAATTAAATAAAGAGAAGCACGAGAAATATTCTTTCAGCTATTCATATCCGCACGAGTCTTTCAACTATTTTCTTCATTTCTTTTTTATACCAATGTGGAATTATCTCAGGCATCAACCTGCCATCACCACTGAAGGATGTTCAGACAAATTATCATCCGCGGCGTACATGTTCCTTCCTACGTAATGATCAAACGTTAGGAGATACTTTCCAATGAGTAGGTATTCCGTAAAGAATGATTCCGTGATGAAACGTTAAACTGTCAAGATATATTTATAAACTTTAATCGTAATCTTGAATTTATACACACAGGTCATAGATATATATATATATATATATATATATATATATTTATATATAGGTATCTTTTTTTTAAATAAATTTATATGGTACACGATTCGATTATTTACACAACAGTTTATATCAAAGTCTCGATTTGGCAATTTCCTATTTTACACTATGCATATCCCGTGGACTGTACACTGGAAATATTCGAATATACACCGAAGAATCGTAGTCGATCCGCGTTTAAGGATGTACCGCAGCACCGATTCGTTGCCCGTAGATCGCGTATGGCGAGTAATAAGGTCCCAACGCGTTGAACGCGCTGTAAGGTGACGCGGCCAGTGACGCTGGAAGCGGTCCCGTCGGCGGTTTTCCGTACGGGTGATATCTGGCACTCAACGGACTCAGAGATGGCGACGGGTAAGAGCCGCCGCTAGCGCGATGCAGAGCCGCAGACGGTGACAACAGAGGATGCGGATGCGGGTTGCTGAGCAAAGCGGCGGACGAAGAGGCGTGATCGCCGCCGGTGAGACTCGTATGGCTGCGAAGATGCTGGAGCAGTTCTTCGGACGTGGTGAATCGTTTCCCGCAATAGGAGTCGCCGGCGATCCAATTGCAGACGTACGGCCTACCGCCGCCGGTCAACGTGGACGGGTATGAGAGCGACGGGGGTGCCATTGGCCCGAAGGAGGACAAGGCCATCGCAAGACCGTACTTCTGATGGTCGCACTGCGTGCATCCACTCGGACATTGGCCAGTACCCATCATCAACTGCGCGCTGTGCATGCTGTACTGGCATCCGGTGCAGTAAGGGTCTTTGCAGACGGGCACCAAAGCCTCGCCGCCGGCCGGAGTTTTAACGCGAGCGTAGCTCAGGTACGGGTTTCCACCTGTCGGGGTGCTCGACGGATAGCCCAGGAGAGCTGCCGCCGCGGCGTGGTGATGAGAAAAAGGCGACGCACCAGCGAACGGCGGTCTGAACGCTGGATTCTCCGCCAGGCCTGGCGGACAGCAGAGCGGGTTTCCGGTGAATCCTGGAAGACTTGGTTTGTATGCGCCCAGATTCGAATCCTTCGCGTGGCTACCGGACAGAATCTCCATTCCAGATCGGATGATCGGGCTGGTACCGTTGTTGTTGCGTGGCGATCCGTCGGTCTTCTCGCGATCCGCCGGCGTCTTCCGGTCCGCGGAAGATGCGCCACTCGCGGTTGCCGTCGCTTGGCTCGCGGGCGACGCAGACTTTCGCCCGACGGGCGTGCGATTGCCCGACGATTTCTTCTCTCCGTGGCTACTGTCACTGGCACTCACACTGTCCTGACCACCAACACTGTGCACACTAGCTTTAGACGCTGGTCTACCGTCGTCGGCAGACTTCTTCGAGACGACGTTCGTCTCGTACGGTTTGAAGGCCAACGATTTCCCGTCCGACGGGCTGCTACGCGTACTCCGCTCCAATTTCGCAGCCGGAGGCGACTTCGCGTTCGTACTGGCGTTCATGCTCTTCGGCGTCTTATCCAGCGGGGAAATCAAAGGCTTTGTCGGAGAATCAGCACCGATCTGACTGCATGTTTGCGCCAATAAAGCTAACGGACTCTTCTTCGCATCCAACTGTAAAACAAAATCGTGCAACTCATTAAAAACGCGTAATCGAATCGTCGGACAGCATTTTATTTAAAGAAACAAAAGAGATTTCAATGCGTGTTGATCGAGTTTTGTTTGCGACCCGTCGGACAACGCGTTTGCATTGCCAGCAACCCGTCGGACAACGCGTACCGTCGGAAGACTACAGATTGAATTTTCGAATAGTTCTAGTCAGAATTTCTTCGAATTTTCACTGAAACTTGTCTCACCGCATCCATTTCGTCGACATTTTATCAAGTAATCAGTGAACTAGCGCAAAATTATACGATAACTACTATCTTTAAATCGTTCAAGAAATATGCTAAAAGTATGAAGGAATAAAATGTTTTCTTGTTCGTATATTGTACTAACCGTGGTTGGAAGCGGAGAAAGATAATCCGGTTGTAAATATTGATTGGGTCCAGTGGTCAGCATACCGCCTTCCTCGAGGACAACCATTTGGGTCTCTCACTTGTTAAGCCAATCACTGCACAAAACTCCAATTCCGTATGGTTTTCACAGTAAAAACGGTAACAGAAATATGTAACAAAAAAAACGGTTCCCAATATCCCGGGACACACCGCGGTAGAACGAAGTATATACGCGTTTGGACGATCGATCCCCGTCCGTGATACGTGGAACGATTTAAACACCAACGACGCTCACAGACCGGAATCCAGGAAAATAGTGGCAGCTCTCGACGGAGCCGTTCGCTGCACGGAATGGAATGCAACCACAACGCCGTCTACCGGCGAGACGCGATTCTCTGGTTGTCCCTGTTCAACTAACGAAGATCGTGCATGATCTGTCCTTCGTCGTCCTGTCGCCCCACCATCGAGGTCTCCGACTCGGGATCATGGTGGGAGAATTGCGGTGGGGTTTCGCCCTGTGTGTGGGGTGTGGGAAGGCATTCTAATTCAACACGCCACCCATGATGTTGGCCCGACGATGACAGCTCCCATCCCGGCTTTGATATTTCACCGCTTTTACAGCCGTCCATCCCCCTCCCCTCACCGCTCCCCTTTGCCGCTCTTCCGTCCCCCGACCCGTTTGCCACTCGCTCACTCACTCACTCCCTCTCTCTCTCTCTCTCTCTTTCTCTCTCTCTTTCTGTTTCTTTCTCTCCATCTAACCATGGCTGTGTATATACGTGTGTATGTAGCTCGACACGGAACCGTCCCTGCCACCAACGGCAACCCGATATTTTATACCGTGAAACCTGTCTGTCTCTCCCGACCGGCCCCGCTTAATAAGCAGCTTTCAAAATAGAAATGTAATGGGTCGGCGGGGAAGGGAATGCCGGGTGATTGATTGCTCGCTCAGCGACTTACCGACTTGCCACAGCCCACGGGGTAACGAATGACAGCCACTTAAGCGCTGTTTGCCTACAGTTTTGTAAAAGCGTTTTAATTATCGCCAGTGCCACGACCGACGAACCGACCGACCAACCATTCGTTCGACGGTGCCTCGCCTCGACTCTATCGTTGTCGCGTACACCTACCGTGACACCGACTCACCGGATGCTAAACGATACAACGCTAGACGATATGATACGGGCTGCTACCAATTGCTACGATACACAACCGAACTTGCCTCTGTGATAACGCTGATTGACTCCTAATGGAATCCGCATTCCATCTTCAACTACGCACTCTCATCCATGTTGCTTACGAATAAACGTTCTTTGCATTCCTAGCGTAGTATATAACAGCTTTTAGCGTCAATTACGCAGAAAAGGTGCGCGTTTTAATTTCTAACCGGTTACGCGGGCTTACAAATAAAAGAAAACTCAAAAGAAGCTCCTTCTAATGAAAAGATATTACAATTAAATGATATTGTTTGATTCAATTATGTAATTAAGTATAGTTCACTCGTTCAGAACGCCTTTCCATACAAATCGTGTAGATAAGCTCATACTTTGTTTCGTGATTGTTGGTAGAATCTAATGATTGATTTATACAATTGTCTACTACTGTACACTTTAATCTGGTTTATACTGCTTAGTTATCATCTCCTATTCAATTAAGGTTTTCATCCGCACGTCTCCTGATACTTACGATCGAGTGTACGTGTCACTGTTTATCGTAACGATCGATAACACGTTCGCCGGATGGAACAGGCTGTTTTCACAACTCTTAGAAAACTACTTTGGTAACGTTCGATCGGGCGGCAGTAGTATCTGCGCGTAAAGCCTTCGAAACGGCCTTACATGTTGCCGTATTAAAGGCAACGCATCCCATGACTGGCTGCCGTGTAAGACCCGCCGAACGTGGCTATTAAAAAACTTGAATACCAGCTGCGTTCGCCGGAGCTCAAACGTTCCGCGCTGTTACGAGAGATTGCGGCCATTTCGCCTCGGTTCGACGCAACTTTTAAACTAAGATAAAGCGATCGATGAAGTAGTTATGTTACAAGGTAATTACGACGAATTATGACAATTTCTGTGCGCGTTCCCTGGACCGCATACTCACGGCTAACTAATAATTAGCTCGAGCTGCGTTGGAATGTAAGCGAAACGGTGTCTATGAAAAGCGCGCAGCTATCTCCCGGTTGTAGTTTCAATTTAGAATCACTGGCTTCGTGAAATTTCGATATTACTTAATATCTAATTATATTAAACAGTTTCTGAAGTTCAGATTACTATGTGACGTCCCTTCTTCCTTGCTGTGAATGAAAATTGAAACGAGCATAATGCACATATGATTTTAATACACCTTTTATTAATGATAAATTCAATACAACGACTGTTTATGATTTAAATATTTATATTGAATAATACTCGGGATTTTTACGTAAGAACTGCGGAGGAATCAACGCGTGGTAGTAAATAATGGTGAAATCTTCCAATAAAAATGATTACATTTGTCTTTGTTGAATTTTCATCCCGAAGAAAACTGTCAGAGACAAGGTAATATTAAATCTTTCTATCGTGTAATATTTCCCAGAAGAAATAAAGGTCTCTGGTGAGAAGTTTTACTTGCATCGCGCGTATCCGTTCATCCATCCTTGCCTCGCGCTCGGTATATCTCGGCGTACCTCTCGTTCTGTCTCTGCTGCTCTGTTTTCTGTGAAGTTATGGCGCCGTTAATACCCCGATGGCAAGTCTTTGACGTTTTGACGCTGACGGATGAGTTTACGGCTAATATAGTTCTCTTTCATCTCCACCGTGCCTCCTTCAGCCCGCATTTCGGTGATTTCAAAACGACAGCTACCAGACGGATAAGGATTCGGTTTCGATGCGATATTGACAGACGCAATGACAGAAGCTACGTTTATCAACTACAAACTGCATACTAAATGTTTCACGCAATGATTGTTGCAATGTTTTATATGTATATTATTTGCATTGGCGGTCATTTTGAGATCTTGCCAAGTTGCAAATTATGAATTTTGACACTTTCGCTTCGTGTAATAATTCAGTGTGACTATTAATATTTATTTGCAGATAATTTAATTTGTTGATAATATACAAGAGGATAATAAATATTACGAAATTTCTCTAAACCGAAATAACATCCTTTCATGGGACCCGCCCTGCATTATAAATTCGAGCCATTGTCTGAGAGGTATATGGCCAGAATGGGTAATAGGTGCAATAAATAATACAGTCGGAACAAAGGTGTCTCTCCTTAGAGGCACAAAATAGACCCGTGAAATTTGTTGTGATTGAAGGTAATAATGATTATTTCCTTAGCCATTGTTGACCATAGGATTAGGATATTGGTACTTGACCCTAACAGAGGTTCGAGTCAGGAAACCAAGAACTACCGTTTAGTTCTAACAATTTTGTAGCACGAAATAGAGGGACGTCAAGAACCGACAATTCGCCATAAATACAGCAGGTAACGTAATATTTTAGAAGCTTTAAAGATGCTATGACTAAGTATCTAGATTTGAAAATTTTCGTCGGAAAAACTCAGGTAGGCGAAAATAGTTTCTAAATATTTTACCCCGAGCCGAGTTCTACGATTGCTCAAACTCTCAATACACGTAGAATGACTTTATGAAATATCGAGAGATCGATTAGTTGTTCTGCGCCAGGTACCATCAATCATAAAAACCGAATTTCATCGTGGAAATCGATACCGATTCACCTCAGGAATGCGCGCAGTGGCCTAGAAACTGCAGCTGTCCCCGATCTTTTGGTGGCCCGGTGAGCCCGAAATACGTCGCGTAATTTATAATCCACGCGTCAATTCGAATCGGGCATTAAACCGCAATACCTTTTTTCCCGAGCATCCGCCGCGGCTATTTTCATCGGCGGTGCTCCTCGACAATGCTTCGGTAATACTTCAGGACGATCGCTCCTTATGACGTATTGTGACCAAACGAATTCGCTCCGGGGACAATAGATACTAGAACGCTGGATAAAAGTGTAAAAATGCTGACAAGCGGATAATAAAGAAGGCAGTCAGTCACTTTGAGAGATGGTGCGGAACAAAGGGCGGCGAGGGGATCGAAGAGGGGGGTGGGACAAGGACGAGGTTGCCAGGCCACGGGGGGAGAAAAGTTACTCGGCGAGCCGTGAAAGGGAAAAAGATGGATGAACGCAAACGCAGTTGGCGTGCGCGGAGGAGAAACAGAATTTGCGGCTGGTAATAAATCATAGCAGTCTCCTTTCTTTCCCCCCCACCCCTCCGTCTCGCACCGCCTCTCATTCTTATATATCAAATTCGGAGCGCCGCCGGAACGATAAGGGAGTGCGCGATTCTGATTATACACGTATCGTTGCCATCGCACACTTATTTTCCGTCGATCCTCGTACCCTCGTGCGACCCACTTTCGGCTCGCGACTTTTTTTTCTTTACAGTTTAACAACTGCTACGTGTCGCCTCGTCGTACTTGATTAATGCACACGAGGCACATGAACGGTCGGAGAGATCGCGGTGGATGGTATAAAAAGCGGTCATTAGACGGAATATTAGACGAGCGACAATCACGGTAACGAGCGTTCGAGCAACAATAACGTAAACTGCAGGCGACGCGCGCTCATAATTATTTCTGACGTCGCGTTTCATCGCCGCGCGCGATGATCAAACGGGTCACGTCGTCAGGCTTCCGACGGCGTGACAGCCGATACATTGACCGGGGAAAAGGAAGAGATTGGAGAGAGAGAGAGAGAGAGAGAGAGAAAGAGAGAGATAGAGAAAAACGATGGAAAAGAGAGTAGATATATGCGGCAATAATAATAACAGGGGCAGGAGAGAGGAAAAGGTATGGAGACGTAGACAGAAATACGAAGCTGGTGCAGCGCAGACAACTGGGCAAGGGCCTCGTTGCCTCATGTTTAAATCAGCGATAACGAGAAGCCTCGGTGACATATGTCACTGTCGCTGTCAGTCGGCTACACAATCAATATAGTCACCCACCCGTCCGTCCGTACGTACGTACGTCGGTTCGTTCGTTCGTCCGTCCGTCCGTCTGTCCGCCTGTCCGCCAGCCGAGCTAGCTCGCTCTCCGTTCGCCTGCCTGCCTGCCTGCCATGCCTGCCTTGCCTGCCCGACTCGCTGCCTGCTTTTCAACCTTCACATGCATAGACTGTATTCCAACCCGATAATGTATTCGGTACGTGACTTCGTATTCGACAAATAGAAGAGCGTCCTCGGTCCGGTGCGACGATATAGCCGCGACCCGGACCAACAGCCACCACCGCGGTCGCCACTAACCACTGCCAAGTATCTTCCGCCGCTAGCCAAAAGACATTCGCTTTTATGGAAAAACGAATCGCGTAATAGGATGCTCTCCCCCATTCCCT